GAAACAAACCAGCATCATACTCTTGGCACTACTGCACAGTTCATCCAACAGAAGCTGTTACAAAGAAAAAGCACAGGTGGATGAACCTATGCACTTTCTTCCACATTAAAATCCTAGAGAAGTCAAGAGAAACCTCCACATGTTTCCAACACAAGTTATTTTTCCTTGGAACACTTCCTGAACAGCAATAATTCTTTGATTGTTACTCAAGAGTGCACTTGGCCATAAGTCAGTCCTTACACACCAGTGGCCCAGAAGAGCTATGAATTTTAGATGCGATGCAGGATGCTAAAAGTCTTCCTAGCAGATGGAAGACAGTCTCGTGAGAACAAGTACATTTTTTTTTTTATTTTCAACCTGGAAAGAAAGTTACTTGGCACTGAGACAACTCTAACTAACCCTTGCGACTGGACTGAAAAAACTCAAAATCTTCAAAATCAGAGCAATGAGCACTTATTGAGTGTTTGTGAGAGATAGCACATTGACAACTTCGGCTGGAAAAGGGCAAATGTTTCAAGGAAATTGATTGCCCAGCTGAGTACAGCACCATCTGAGCCTGCAACGCAACTCGTGCTAGAACACTTCAGTTTTATCACTTCACTAAACGAGTACACGTTGTCAGACATCTGTAAACAGCATTTACAGCTATCTGCTGGCTATGAAAGCTAAGACACTAAGGAATTTTAGGTAGAAGGAAGCAGTTTATGCACTTTGATAGCTGACCTAACGCAAAAAAGCTAATGGGCTAGAAACTTGCAACTCTTCCCTCTCCTACTATCCTGTAATCCAGCCCTCATCTCACTGATGCAGTTTGACAAGTGGATCTGAACTTCTTAGGCAAACTGTCACATGTAGTCCTCGCATTCTTGTGTCTTATGCTAAATCTCCACTTGTCAGTGGGTGGCATCCATCCCTCCAGTACAGTCAGGCTCCAAAAGCTATCTTTGGCCTACACAAGGTACCCCTTAAGTCATACCAGCCAGAAGTTTCCCCACTGATTGTCTGAGGGCTGAGCTCACACAGTGTGCTTAGCTCAACAGCTATGCAATGTCAACAGTATTTATCTGTTCGTGTTGCCAGCTAAAAGGAAGCTTGATGCATAAAGGTTCAGCACATAAAGAAGAGATTTCTGAGCCATCTAGCCTAAGCAACACCTAAGGAAGCTACCAAAATCCTTTATTTCCCTGCTAAAACAGCAAATAGTCCTATTTTTTAAAGCAGAAGCTCTACCCAGAAAAGATCAAAGAATTAGAGCTATCCCAAAGTTAAGGAGCCATATCAAGGCTAGATGAGAAACTCCATCTCACAGCCTGTTTGATACACATCCCTTCTCGTGAGTCTATTGAAACATACCAAAGCACTTTTTTGTATATATGCCTAAAGCAACAGCCAGTGAGGAAGAGCTCAAAAACACTTTATCTGTGGCCTGCACCTAAACCAATAGTCATCCATTGAGAATGAGTACCTGGGGTCAGCAACTGCAATAAATTCTAACTGTAGCCATGTATAAACAAACAGAACAGAAAAGAACAGGAGGCAAACCAGATCTTGGCTGCAAGTGATGTGCAGTGAGAAGTCCTTCTAATGCAAATGACTACAAAAGCCACACAAGAAACCAGTACATTGTCCTGTCAGAGCCACCATCCTGAAGGGTAGAGCATAGGAGCCATTTTGAGCCTCTATCACCCCGACGAATATGTAACGACATACAAAGCATTTAAATTTTCCTTCGGGCATTTACACCATGCTGCATTTCAACTTCTTAAGTACTGTAAAGCAAAACAGAAAGCAAAGCTTTGCTGCATACAAACAGCACGTTGTAACTATGTTTTAGATGCTCATACTAAACTTCACCAGCCCAGTTACAGAGTCATACTAAGGAGAGCAATCAGCTAATTGAGTTTGACATTTGAGTTTGCGCTTGCCAATGCCCATGTCTCCTACTGAGAGACAGCTTCTGCAGAATGGAAGGGTCACGTTTTTCAGAAGTGACTTACGTTGCCTGCTGTCCAGTCAGACACTTCATAGCTGCACAGCTTCTGATTAAGCAATGAACTGACACTCTCCTAAGGACTAGCTCCCTTCAGTACACAACCAGTTAGGCTAAGATTACTAACCACTAAGTCTCAGGCTAAGCTTAAGCTTGCAGTTAAGTCCCATCTCGTACATCCTTTACGCAACTGGAATTACCAGCATCTGCAGTATTAAAGCAGGTCTCACACCAGAGCCACCTTGCAATGCTCTGAATTACTGTTCCAAAAAAAACATTTTTAACAGCATGGATGCTTGAACAGTCCTAGTCGTCTTTCTTTTAAAGAATTAAAATTTCTACCATCATTTGCTACATGACACTAGCATACATGAAGCTACTTTATAGTTAGCTGGTACCTATATCGATGTCATTGTTTTCTTTAATGCAGTAGTAAGACAAATTGGCAGAAAAGGATTAGGGGAGCTATTTTGCTTCCTTTTTCCCTTACTCTGTGCTTGCATGACATACCCGCAGAGCAGACTCGATCACACAAGTAGCTTTGTTTAGCATTCAATTCCAGAGAGGCTTAGAATACAGCGTTTAAGAGACACGATATTCAAAGAGTAAACTTACATGGTCATTTTCAATATTTTGCAGCAGTCTCGGGTCATCAAATTCACATGATTCACTGGTAGGAGGTAGCTGACTGCAGAGCAAGACAAGCATATTCAAACATAACAGTAGCAATATTCCCAATCTTACTGCTACATCTATTTCGTTGGGAAGCAAAGGAAAAACAAAGTAAAATTTCACTCTCCTTGAAAGTATTGTGAAAAGATCATATGAGTAATGCACAAATTATTGCTGAAAATTAACAATAATTTCCTCGGAACGTCAGCAAGAAATCCAAAATGGTTATGCTTGAAAGTGTATTTGAGAAGATTCAAGTGTCAACGCACTTCCTAGAACAGACATAGCAGAAGCAGCTTTTAAGTGTACTTGAAATGCATTGATTTCAAGGGGACTTGGTTTTAACATTGGTCGAAGATCAATATCCCTAAGCTCCCTCTCTAGTCAGTGAGTTCTGCTTCAAGTTGATCCCTGGGGGATTTTAAGTCTGAGTACTCCATATGAGTACCTGGAAGAAACTCTTCCACAGAACTGACTGGAAAAGAAGCCTACAAGGAGAGAAAAAATAGCAATGAAGGAAACAGCAACACATTGGAAGAAAAAGAGGCACCCATAGGAATTACCTCAGTCGAAGTAGCAACATACCATCATACTATATCATCTTCCTTAAACATGATTATAAAAACAAGATGGACCTGTTGAGAAGTCTAACATAGTTCATCAGAAAGGGGCCAACAGCATTCAATGTCTACCTGTTTCTTGGGTGGGAACTCACTTCTTGCCTATATTTGCCAAAGCCACATCAATACTCTCTAGGCTCCTCCCCATTTCCTGTTAATCTGAACACATTATAGTGACACCTGTGTAATGCTTCTAAGTTTTCATTTCTTTCTGTAGAATGGGACAGACTCATCACCTCTATTCATCAAATCTCTGAATAGAGAGGAGTGGTTCTCCTGACATGAGACACCTCCATATCAAAATCTTTCCCAGTTTAATTATTAAAACATAGCATTTTAATACAGAAGTTTCTTTTCTTCTTGTCAGATTTGAACTCAGCAATTGCAGAGAGTAACACTCAGTCTCTAGCTAGAGGTAAGGTTACTGTAAAGAAGGTTACTCTTAGATTCCAACTTGGTTGTCTGCAATTATAAATAAGCACTGTATTAGCATACATCCAAGCCAACCCAGCCACTGCCTACCCCTCACTCCCCTTCACCCACCATCTCGCTATGCAGAAGAGAAGATCCATCACCACCCACCAGCTCTGCATTCGACTCCTGCTGGAAGAGCATTTTACTCAAACACATTGCTCCCTTGGGCTTCTTCCAGTCCCAAATTGGAAAGCAGTCTTTATATAGACTGTCCCCACTCAGCTACACAGAGCACAAACATATTAGAATATATTTACCTGAAGTCTTCTGATGAACGTTCTCTTTCCAGCTCGGGAAAGTGACTGAGGGGTAGAAAAAGGAAAAAAGAACATTTATTCCACTTTGCAAACCATAAAATAGGTAGAAGGCGAGGATCAACGAGTCATCACACACAAACATATGCTGCAACCATGGGTTCAGCTGTTTATACATTCAAATCAAGTTTCCTGCCTTTTGAGGTATCTAATTTAGCTACCATGAAACTCAAAGGTTAACTTGCACAGAGATCTTCAGACTACCCATTTAAAACTAAGCAAAGACAAAGATTTAGTATTCAAGACTCAAAGACCAAGTGCTACGAAATACTGGCATGACAGAGACCTTTTGACAGAAACAGAACAAAACCAGTAAGTGGGTATCTCTCCCATGCTGGGAATATTTAACTCTACAACTACAGCTATATAGTTGTAACGAAATCCTAGTTCATCTGAAGTAGTCAGAAACACGACTGACAATTCCTACTCTTGGGTTGTGTCTTCTTCTATCTAGAACAGCCAGAGGTTATTTAGGACTTCTGATTTAGTTTAAATGATGATCAGATAAGTTAGGAACCAAGTAATTATTTCTCTTTACTTCATTTAAAGTACTCTCCAGGTTTGCATTTCATAATTTGTGTTGCAGGACATGAAAAGGAAAGCTATTAACTGAGACAGCAAAATACACTAAAACAAAAAAATAAAGAACCGAATGTTCTAACCCTGTTCTGATACAAAAGTATGCACCATTAATAAGCACAAATTAAGCTATAGGGTTTCTAAAGAAGTAATACCTACCCATATGTCACTCCAGCAATACTACATTTCTTAAAGTTCATGATATTGCACGTTAGAGTACCTGTTTTATCAGAAAACAGGTATTTCACCTGGAAGAAAAAACAAACTAACATGTAATTTTCAACTTGCAAAGTAACCAAACTCAAAGCCGAAACCAGATTAAGTATCAGGAAAATTCTGGGAGACATGCCTCGAATGCGACAGTATCAGCCAATGTAGGCTCATTACAGCTTGGTTTGTCTCACCAAAGCTGCAGGAAAATAATCAGGAAAGTCATTTAATGGCATTAGCTCTAAATGCAGCAAGGTCCAAATAGTAGTTATTAATTGCCAAGGCTTCAGTGTGGTCAATACAGATGTACTTGCTTATGCTAGATGAACATTCACCAAATATTTAAACTGTAGTAACTTCAAACAGTAAGACTGGAAATTAAAATAAGGACTCTTCAGATGGTTGAATAATCATTAGAATTTAACACACTGAAGAAATTTTACGTTCCAAAGATCACCAGGAATTTGCTTGGGGCTTTTTCCCCATAAACAGTACTGTACAAGGAATATCCTAGAGATAAGTCTAACTGGTATCCCACAGGCAAACACACGCTGCTTCTTCTGCTACTCAGTCATAAGCAGTCCTGACGTGCAAGATGTAGACACAACCAGTACTGCCCAAGCTAATAATCCTCTAATGGAAACCAGTGACTCTCAGCTAGAACTTGGAGACAACACCAACACAGCAACACAACTTCCTGAAGCATTAGCAGACTCAAGATTCCCACCTTCAGAAGGTCACAACAGACCAAAATTAATCGCAAGCTGAATTCCACACTGTTTTACCTCTGCACCAGGTAAGATTTTAAACCATTACCAGGTAGGGAGGGATGGTGCTAGCACAGGAGCTAGCCAATTTCAAGACTAGAACATTTTGCCTAGAGTTGCAAAAAGCTTTTCCTCCATATTTGCAATTCATTTACAAGACAGCGAGTGCCCTGCACCACTAGTTAAGCAATTCTTTAACTGTGGACTACTCTGCTTCCGAATACAGCATTGGCTTCTAACTTGCATTTCCAAAGTGGGAACCTAAACACCTGAGGATCTTCAGGTCACTAATAATTCTAGCATATAACAAAATTTTAAAATGCACCAGTGAACAATTCAATTACTGAATCAAAATCAGTCTAGTTACATGGAATGACTAGTAAGCCATTTCTAAAAACAACATATGGGCCAATGATATACGTTACACCACATAATATAGTTCATTTTGAACAAAAATAGTACCATCATTTGGAAGTTGATAGCTTCACATCAAAGCAATCTAAACAAATTAAGTTTTAACAATCCTAAGGAAAAGGTCAATTGGATTAAGCAGGAAGAATATTGACTATCACCCTGCTGAGCAGCACACAATAATTATGTATTTTTACATACATAAACATTGTCTCCAACACTAAATTCACACAAATGATGAAGTTCATGTGGTTCAGTTACACATCTATGACTTCAGTGGTCAAGGAAAAAAGCTAGGATTTCTTCAATGATACTACAAATTCCAATGACAAAGTTTTTTCCAATAACCTTATCTTTATGGAAGCCCTTCTGTTTTGAAAAAAAATCTCATTTGCAGAATTTATAACAAGTCTCTTACAACAAGTACAAGTTAACATCCAGTTACCTTTATCTGAAAGGAAAATGGAAACGCTTGAAGGAATGCAATCTAAATTAGGAATAGAACTGCACTTTTTTGACTTGCATTTGCTATGACATGGTCAGAAATGTGAAGAACTAAGAACACAGGCTGAGGCTGCGGGCCTGCTCTTCAGCCAAGCTTAGTACTGTATGTTCAGTTCCAGAATAGGCAGTCACAAAGCATTTCTTCAACACCCTTGAGGATAAAGTGAGTTTAGAGTTAACATAGGAAATAAAATTCAATTACCAGGCTTAAAAATGCCTATATGACCTTGAATTGAACTCTATAATAACTCATTATTTTACTGGAGACTTGGACTAATGAAAGTAAAGATTTCCCATTAACCCAAGCCACAGGGCAACAGAATAAAGCAATTTGTACAGCATGCTCCCATACCTTTTATCTTCCCGAAACATATCACAAACATTACACTTAAGAAAACACTGTCTTACCTGCCCAAGTTCCTCATTAAGGTTTGAGGTTCTGGCCATTGCAGGTGTATCTGTTTCAGGATAATACATATCTATGTCCTGAAATGAGAGCAAAATTAGACCTATGCTATGCAAATTAAACACTGAAGTCTTCTAGTCAGTTCCAACTTGGCTTTGACTGACTTCCCTCCATTGGTGGTGGTTCTGAAGGCTTGAGAGACAAACAGCATCCCAGGCTCAACAGAGGTGCCTCTTTTCCAAAGTATACCTTCATACTACACATACATGAGAAAAGCCAGATTACAGATAATCATCATTTTCTTCATTGCATCTCTAGTTTAAGAATTCAGTACAGTAAGAAAAAGTTCTAACACGCATCAGCCATGCTAATCATAGGTCTTTGGTTACAACAATGTAATTTACTCTGCCACAGGCATGATTGAAGAGAGAATTTAAGTGACTGAAATCAACTCCTATTACTACATTTAACTCGGAGGCTAAACAAAACAGCTGCTACACATGAACCAAAGAAATTTCCCAGATAAGTTAGTCAAGCATCTCCAATACATTATAAGCAACTCAGAGAAGAGACACGTTTAACCTTACTTGTATTTGAGAGGAACCACTACAACTTTACTGCAAGCCCAAGGATTAATGCTACCAAGACAACATATTTCTCATTTTTGTTCAGCTTGAGAGACATCACTATAGTATTTTTGGTCCACAACTGAAGAGAAACATACTTTGAAGTCAAAGCTTGCCTGAACAGAGGGATCGCTCTTTTGTTGCATGAGACACCACCAACTCATCTCTACAGAAATACTACAATTCACACCAGAGGTGACCCTAAGGCCAGCCTCAGGATTTAAAAAAAACAAACACAACAAAAAAAATCACAAAAACCCATCCAATCCCCTCCACACACACACCTCCCTAAGCAAGTCTGGTCTTCCCCTCTACTGTGGCTGAGAGAAAGAGTACCTATAAGGTACTGAAGAGTTTAAAGGATATTTACTGAACATGAATCAGCTGAGAGACCTTGTTCAACCAAAAGAGTTGAGCCTTCCTTCTTATCCTGAAAGCCTAAAACATACAAGAGTGATCATCTGTGCAGGGAATCTCCCTACAACTACATCTTTTATTTTCGTGTGGAACATAGAACTAATACAGAATAAATTGCCTGAACTTCTCCCTGCCTTTCCCAGAAGTCGCATCAGAAAAGTCATCAGAAAAATCTGGTAAAGATTTCAGGGTGAGGTGTTTTAATGTCACTTTCCAAAACTGAAGTTAATACATTTATTCTTGTTACTTACCCAATTTATAAAAAGAGCCTGAGTAAACTTAACAACTTCCAATGTCACTAGAAGACTGATTGGAATAAGGTTGTTGTACAAGATTATAAATGTCAGCAGATTGTATCCAAAGTTGACGGACAGCATTTCTGTGGACCAAAAGATATTAGACATCAACAGACAGAAGGCAGAAGTCTGAGTGGTATAGTATAGAGGCAATCATCTTTCTGCAGTTGGCCTGATCAGATTTAGTAGTGCTAAAATAATCAGTGAGTGTGTTAAGGCCTAGTAAAAGGGCATTTTTAATATTGATTTCAATAGCACATACATAAAACACCCCCAGAACACATGCCTGGATACACAGCAAGTTATGCACCAGGTGAAGAAGGGCAAGATTGGTGAGGCTGTATATTAGAAAACAGAACACTTTCTGAAGAATTTTGCTCAACAGATGGTGAAAAGTATGATATTCCACACCATAATCCAAATTTAGACATTTATCTGATGTGTCAATTGCTCCAATTCAGAGTCACCAATATCACTAGTAACATAACTTTACCTTTCTGAAAAAGTGTCTACTTGCCTTAGTGGAGTTAAAAACCAACAAAAAAAAAAATACTGAAATCGGTTCTAAAATCTGCTGCCAGCATTGGCAGAATTGAGAAGTTGCACTAAAGAAACCTAAGAGAACAAGTTGACTGTTAAACAGACACCTAGTAAGTTGTTACCAGTGGTGATTACATTGGGCAAGTTACCCAAGTAAGCCTTCTAGCACAACTGGCCCTAAAGTTAAAGGTAAGCATTAATAGACACCAGGCAGGAATAGATGAGGCTCAGCAGAGAAAGAATGCCAGGTCCTGTTCATGGTGCCACCCACAGCCACTCTTTACATTCAAAGTCTCCACATGTGTCTGTCTTCCACTTCCCTTAAAGCTCAGGGAAGCACTTCAGTCAGCATGCAGAGCACTCAGCACAATGAGGTCACAGCCCACAACTAAAGGGTTTTCAGTGTTACAGATAAGTTGGTTAAGAAGGCAGAGGTGCAAACTAGGATGAGATAGAAGCCAGAGAAAGTTGCTGAAGCCTAATGAAGATCAGAGGAAGACTTGAAGTTTGGACCCAGGCACCTCCAAGTGTAAGCACACATGAACTCCATGCCTTTGATCTGTTTACAGAAAGAGTAGAAGCACACTTGATAGGAAGATGCTTTTTCCAATATAATCTTTACAGAAATCACACATTTAACAGAAGTTTAACACAGAATCATAAAAGTTTGGGTTGGAAGGGATCTTTAAAGATCATCTAGTCCAATCCCCACTGCAATGAGCGGGGACATCTTTAACTAGATCAGGTTGCTCAGAGTCCTGTCCGATCTGACCTTGAATGTTTCCAGGGACAGGATACCTACCACCTCTCCGGGCATCCTGTTCCAGTGTTTCACCACCCTCATTGTCAAAAAAGTTGTCCTACATCTAGTCTAAATCTATCTTCTTTTAGTTTAAAACCATTACCCCTTGTGCTAGCACAACAGGCTCTATGAAAAAGTCTGGCCTCGTCTTTCTTATAAGCCTCCTTTAAGTATCAACCTGTGTAGTCTGAAAAAGTCTTTCACACGTGTGGCACTTATAGAAGTGTCAGAAATTGTGCATTCAATTTAAAAAAAAAATCATCTATACAGACTACTATGTCATCCCAGTTTATTACAGGTTGCACCTGTTTCATACTTGCACAAGTTCAACAGTTTGTTCCATTTGTCTTTTCCAATATTACCTTCATCACTGGAAAGCACAAATTTAAACTTCCTCATTAAAAAGCAGGAGGGATGATGAGGAAGCAGATTTGAAAGTTGCTGATACTGCTGCTAGAAGACATTACAACTAAGAAAATGACAAGTCAAATATGAGGCACTTCCGTGCTCTTCCTACATGAATTTTTTTCTATCACAATTGCAGTTCTTAAACTGCAGAAGATACCCTCTGCCATCTGTTTTGCAATCATCAGCAGGCAGACTATTTGTAGTTTAAGAGAATTGTTTTCAGCTCTGCATCTCAAGATGTCTGCAACAACACATATTATAGCTACCTCATGTAACACCTTCAAGTCAGAAGTCTACTGGAGAGCAATTTATTTCATCCTTAAGTGTTTACATAAGGCCCATCTTTGATATCTGAACTAGTAAATTCAAAGAGTATGAATGAAATCAAATAAAACTCTTTAATAAGCTAACTTCCTCATTATGAAATAACGTGAGTCAGAAGCCAGAATGATTGAAACATCATCCAATACATACAAAATGATAACATTTAGCATTTAAGTTTTTTCTGCAAGAGCAGATTAGCACTTCTGACTGAAAAAAACAGCTGGAGAAATCCTTTGCTTCTGTACATGAGCACAAAGCTAAAGTCAGTATCATCAGACTGATACCTGCTACGCTGCAGTCAGGTACAGTCAGACACGATACATAAGGCGGTGTACATGACCTGCTGTGAAAGCAAATTTCCGCATGGCATCTCCACAGAGCTGAAAGAACTTGAACACCAAGTATTCAAGAATTACTCTTGCCCCTCTCCTGTTTCTGTCCTGCGTCCTGGGTGGTAGTCCAGTGATATTTACCTAACCTTTAGAAGGTTTTATTAACAGAAACCTCACTGATAAGTTCACTTATGCCAGCCCATTCTCAAAAAAAAAATACTAGGCCATCTAAAAGTTAGTGACAGACTTTGTTTCTTGTGTTTCTTCCTTTGTTTCTTATTTTATGCGTTCATTTAGCAAAGCTAAGAGGCTGGCTGGCCCTACAGCCTGACACATCCCTAGCACACTGCCTGCATACTCACTGTTGGAGCCAAGGTACCAGACGACTTCGCCGTGTGTTCTGTTCCATAATAAGGCACCTACAGAACTCACAAGGGCCATGACCAGAAGAATACAGAACAAAACTAGGATCTGCAAGTTGGTCACTTTCTCCACATTTGATCTCTTCAGAGGTGCTTTGGTTGAATTCTGAACAGCAGCAGAAAAGGAGGGAAAAAAAAGGAATCCAATAACAGCTTATATAAGAAGAAATTGCAAAGGCAAACTCAGTCTTTCTCTTTAGAGTCCGTCACAGAACTTGTTACTCAACTCTAGCTCAGTATTGTAGCAAAGCTCAAAAAAATAGTAGTAGGAGCCAATACTCCTAACAACTTCAAAACTCTCAGAAAATCAGAGGAACAGAACTATTCAGTTCTAAAGACCTAGTTTGCTCATCTGGTGGCCAGAGGCAAATCAGAGGAATAGAACCATTCAGTTCTAAAGACCTAGTTTGCTCATCTGGTGGCCAGAGGCAAGCAACACATGTATGTTCTCGGTCTCTCCAGGCACTCCCTGCCATTAAGGCAATACAGTGACTGTGGTCTTAACCTAATTATCTGCAAGTGCTAAAATTGTAGGTGGACATTACCATCTCCTCAGCTGTTAAACCTCAGTTTTAAATGTTGTCCAGCTACCAGATAAATTAAGATAAAATATAGTTAAAACGCTTCCATATGTAAGCGAAACTAAGACAAATATCTCAGTAAGTGCTTATACATTTGCAAAGGCAACTTCAAATACAACAGCATCCTTGTAATCCTCAAGGCCTCCAGGTCTTAAGTGGCTACAATGAGTCAAATCATTTCATAAAATCAAGTCCAAAAGACAAGTAGGACACAGGAAAGACAAATGGCTTCTATCAGAGCATGCTCTAGATCTCCTTAAAAACTTTACCTGCATGAGTTTTGTATCATGTCCTGTATACACAACAATACCCAAGACCCATTGAGTGTTTCTCAGTTGTGCACCTCTTAACAAGATCTGGTCTGGACCAACAGGAACTGGGCTGCAAAGCAAGAAGCATGTATATCTTTCAGTTCTTGATAACACTAAGTAATTCTCCTTTCAGCCTTACTCCCTCCAACCACACTCCCCCCACCCAGAAAAAAACAACCCACGCAAAAGAAGGAAAGTAATATAACGAATTTACATTGTCCACACAACCCAAGAAAGCACTGAAACCTGTGTAAATCTAATCCCTACTAAAGCACAGTGGAGCAGAGATGACACAAGAGATCTGTTCTAATTACCCAAAACTTGAGAACTTACGTGGCAGCTGTAAGCCTACTCTGCACTTTACCTTGGCTAATACGTTTTCTCACATCAAGAACACAGAAGCATTACCCTTGGAAAGAGACCATCCATTCCAAGCAACCTATAATCTCACATATGACAGTTTTCCCAAAACGTTTATTTAATGTATTACACATGTACTTTTCAAGACGGATGCAAGTTATCTTTTACCATCTTGCATCTGTCACTATTCAGCTGAGTTGCCCTAAGAATACAGGTTTTGTGCTGGAAAACAGGTACAGCCAGATGAAACCTTTATGTTACTACAGACCTTTCAAGTTTTACGGATTCAAGTACTAAAACTAAGTTCTTTTCTTCCACGAGTTGCAACAGATGGAAGTCACACCAATAAAGATTCCAGACTCTGGGATGATTTTTCTCTTATACCTTGTACTGGTACCTTATACTGGCAGATGCTTTGTCAATTAACACTGACAATTGTTAATTATTACCCCTTCCCCAACAAACACATGCATGTGCTCTGTGTTGCAGACTAAAAGCACACAGGAAGCATTTAGGAAGCTTTTTTTTTTTCCTAACCAAATGAATTTATGGCTTTGTTGTCAAGTCAATACCTTTGACCATCTAAGCGTAAGTTTCCAGTGAAGTCATAAAGATGACGGTTGGGTCCTTCACATTCTATCCTTCCAGATACTTTCATCAATTCTTCTCTTGACTGGAGACTAGCAGTTTGAGACAATCCCTGCAGACACCAATGCAAACAAGACTCTCATCAAAAATTGTCATTAGAAGGCAACCTAGGAAAACGGTGCTTTTTTCCAACATCTAAGATATCAAGTTGAAAAATTAAATGCATGGAGGTTTTCTGTTGGCAGTGTTGGCGGAGTTTGGGGGGGGGTTTGTTTTGTTTTGTTTTTTCAGTAACTCTTTCCTGCAAGGAAGATTCATTGTGGACACATATGATCCTGCTTATATAGGATTGGTTTAAATCCCACTACAGAAAAGATTATATTACCTATATGACCTCTCTGTAACCAAGAGGAAAGTCCCATCCACAAAGCAGAAAGTCACACATGTGCAAGAGGAAGTAGGAGACAAGCGCTGTAAGCAGGCTTGGCTTTTCTCTGGAAGTATAGCTGCCGTGATGTGTTACTGCTGCTAAACATAGTCACTCCTAAGTATAGTCTCTCTTGGGTCACTACAGCCATTATGCTCTGACCCTACTCAACGTTCATTATCAACCCATCATGCAACTGTAACGTAACATTTTGCTACTCCATCTCAGAGTGCACATACAACATCCATTGCTCTTCATCTCTCTGTGAACACCTCCACATGGTTAAGAGCAACACAGTCAGTGTTTCTCTGGCCAGACTGACAGCAGCACTGCAAATCAGAACGAGGCCTTAAAAGGCCTAAGACCTTATTTTTGTATTTTAAGCATGTCTCCTGGAGCAAATAAAAATCTGACAGGAACTTAAGATCTGATCATTTGGCCTGACCCAGAACAGTAAATCACATTTCTACAATGGTAATAAACAGGAAGCAAATGCATGTTTCTTAAAAACAAGTCATCTGTATTTTCAAAATTCTAATCCAAATTCTTTTTTGTAACGAAGGAGGGTAAAGATTCTGAACTATTGCTAAACACAATAATCAACAATATTTCTTCAACAAAACTGGAAATATACAAATAAATTCTACTACTTACCACAAAGAGAGAACAAATTAACTTAAATATATACAAGGTCCCTTTGAGCACTCAGCAGAGGCGGAAGCAACAGATTGGTGCTTGTGACAGCAGAAACCACAGCTCATCACAAGCATAGCTGCTTTTTTGGGGGTTTTTTGTGTTTTGTGGTTGGTTGTTTTTTTTTTTTTTCATACAGCACTTCATTTACCGGACCTTCAGCAAAACACAGCCAAGGTCTGCTTGATTTGCCTTAGTGGGCTTATACCGCTTCCTCCAGATTACTTCCTTGCACTTGGCACATGAACTATTATTGTTTCAATTTGTATCTGTTGAAAAGGTGGCTACAGCCACCTGGAAAGATATATGCTTGATTTTTTTTAAAAAAAAAAAAAGAAAACTTGTGGTGGTGTCACGAAAGCCAGACTCTGCTTTGTAGTTAGTATGGGATACTTAAATAAAAAAAGGGAAGTTTGGTTTGGTTTACCTGTCGTATTTTAAGATTTGTCTCCCCATCGAGATTAGCTGTTTCAATATAGCACATGGCTTGTGGTTCACTGTAAGGAGCATAAGATTTTCAATATTACAACTCAGTAATTTTTGTATATTACTTTTGCACTAAAAAGGCTCACAACACACTTCAGAATACACAATACACTACAGAAGACAAAAATCCATATTGTTGGCATATAACCTCGAAAGAGACAGTTGAAAGTACACATTCTAAGGATATGTCTTTGGATATGAACACTCTCAAACAACAAACTACAGAGAAAAACTAGTCTAAATCAGAAGGTTAATAATAATTTAACAAGTCAGGATAAACTTAGATGCCCGAAGTGAATTTTACTCTGCAATTCTTAAGATTGCTTCAGATTGCAAGAGCTATACTAAGTATTGAACAGCATAAAAAGGAGATGTGCTTGGATGAGGACAGTAGCCCTCTCTGCTATTGCATTCCATCTGTGAACTGTGCACACAAAAGGTTATGGCTACAAGTTCACCTTAAGTCCAGGGACTTGCAGAGGTACATCTGAAGCCACTGCTAATCAGTTGGGCGTTTTCGAGAACCAGAAAAAGGTACAATAAGATTGAAACTGAGGGCTGTGACCTGCATTTTCCAGACATGCTTCTGCCCTTACCAACAGGGGCAAGAAAAGTCTTCCTCAAAGAACTGAATCTTCCATTAGTCAAGCTCTTAAAACCTAGCGTGGAAGAGCTCTGCAAAGGTAGCACCTCTGATAAGGAAAGGTACTTCTATCATGGATCTTTTCCTGACATGCCCCTTAAGATTTAAAAGCTCTGTATGACACCACTGTTTTTCCTGACTGTCTTCTCAGGCTGCTAAGGGATATCAGTTTCCCATCTGGACCCTAACATGTGCTTCTTCAGTATTACTAATTTTCATATTCTTGAGATGTTGCTATTTCTTTTCCAAGGTAACCATTTGCTTTAATAGCAAATGTACTTAACCAGCAGAAGAGTCAGTAATAAAGGCTCCTTAGAATAAAAATTGTTATAAAACAGACAGGTATATTTGTAACACATTAAGCAGCTAGATTTTTCTCTCCAGAGAGTTTTTCTTAAAAAAAAAAAAGACAGTCTGCTCTTTGTCTTCCTCCTACCTATACGGGCAATCTGAATCCGAACTCAAGAAAGCCACAGATTAAGTCCAGCTTGATGTCAATTTTTACCTCTGTTACAAACACCTAATACACTACAACTGAAGTGGTTAACTCAGGAAGACCTCTTGCAATACCATTCCTCTCAGATCCAAGGAAATGCAGAAGAGTGTCCTCATAAAACTGTATCTGGATTCAAACCTATTTTCCTTCACGTAAATTTTTTTTATGTAAAACTCATTTGATATCACCTTTCTTCTATGGAGGGGAGGAGTGGGGAAGAGTCAAGATAAAAGCAACTTTATTTCACCTCTGACAGTCAGCTCAGGCACAGAAAATTAACACATACAGGGAAAAGACCCCATCCCTTTAGAGCATGCAAAGCCTTCTGGTGAACTGAGGACATTTAGTACCGTCATTTAGAAGTATTGTGGGAATAATACCAATTGTAAAGAACTGCCACAGAAAGTGCTATTTACCTCAAGAAAAGCTTCTTCCAAATCAATATACTTGGGTTAAATTCTCCAGTTATGTGATTATCAGTGACACCAGGTTAGTAGAATAATGCAGAACAAAAAGCTGACCCATGCAAGTTAAGAAATAAATCAGAAGGATTTTTTTTTCTCCTTGAGAACTTCTCTAATGTATTATACTAAACTATAAAATTATTATTACTAAACTATATAATTATACTATACTAACTTCTAAGAGAAGACTGAGCTTCCCACATCCGGCTTTTGAACAAATGAAACCTCCCAGGAATGGCACAGACAAGGACAGAGTAGAAAATGCAGTTGTTTAGAAAACAAGTTCCTTTAGAAGTTGGGTCATCTAAGAGAACTAACCATCTAAGAGACCAAAGAAACCTGCAGTCACTGTTGAAAAGCATGCAGACAGAAAGAAATTATGGAGAAGAGCAAGGTGTCATAAGGTTTGACTAATAGAAAAAAGCACGTTTAAGAACAGAAACTGCATTATCTCCTGTTTAACTCTCATCTAAGTGGACAGTGGTCTTGTTTTGACCTCAAGTTGTTCAACACAATACAGGATCTAGATTAGCAGCCACATACCACTCAAATGCTTTTAGGAACTAACAACTGAGCTTTGTTTGCCAGTACACCAGTATAAAGAAGTTGCCCCATATTTTACAAAGGAAAATGGGCAGAACTCAACAGTTTACTCTTGCTACCATGCCAGGGATGGGCCCCAAGTGTACTGTATCAAAGACAAAGAGTAAACAAATGAAGCTCAAAAGCTATTTTGCAGACTAGCTATGAGATGCCAGTTGGGCTAGCCTTTTAGAATTACTGTTTGAAAGAGAAATCTTTCCTAAGGGGCAGTAAAAGATGTTGGAAACTCAGTGGAACTAATTGGAAGAAAACCTAAAGCTTCATGAAGCTCACGTAATAGACTTCCAGTCTTCCAACAAACTTAGTGATACACTTTGTGAATTACAGGTACGTAATACTATGAAGTCTTAACAAATCCTTCTGTCTTAAGAACCTATTTATGACGATACACGAATCCCTGCCTAGCAAAGTACTGCTTTGACACGGTTGGAATTTAGATGTGGAGATGAATTAGTGCCATCTGATGTCTGTTTTTATTAATAGCCAATACAGAGTTTAGAGTTCTCTGCACCTCAGTTCATCAGACATATCATTTCCACACCCATTTGAGATACCTGGAAGATATAATGATCATGTCTGCTGGAAGATGTTGCCCATTGGTGACCTTCACAATATCTCCTACTGCTACCTGTTGAGTCAGGGGCAGGAGTACAGTAGCATGGAAAAGAAAAACAAACAGTTCGCTTGTCTGGAATGTTAGTTTGTTATTTTCTTTCACCCAGTCAAAAGAACAGCATCATGCACAGAACAGCTAGAGACAGTGCTTCTGAAAGGCAAGAGTACTTTTCACTGCAAATTTGGAAGTATCAAAGCCTTCCCTTCTCTGAATGTAAAGCAAACAATACTCTATTGAAAAAAGTTACATACTCAATTGGAAAGTGTGATCTTCTGTGGCTCATTTAATAAAAAATACTTTTTTCAATAATCCTACCACTATGCAAATTTGAGTTACTTTTTCCTTTAGTCTTATTTAACATATGAAAAGATTTTTTTCCAAGTAAAACAGTTATCTTTAAACTTTACCTTCTTCAAGTATCAAGAGTCTCTCCTATTCCTTCTCCATACTACTTAATTACCCAGTCATCACTATCATTTTCCCTTAGCCCTCTTCAGATGCACTGCTTATACTCACCACTAGCAAGGAGTATTGTCTATACAGATAGATAGTATCAACCAGTTTTTGCCTGACTTATAGTCACTTGAGATGCACAAAGTTCCAATTTCTGGAATACTGAAGACCTAAGAGTATCTGGCACCGTGAATGAGAGTCACATATGCAGCAAACTTTCATTCTAAGAACCACCAAGCAGCACACCCAAAACAGTAAGCCCAGCTTGCCTGAGAAGTATCAGTCTGCTTAGCACCAATGCACTCTTGAGAGTCTGAAATAGGCTTAAAATTTTAAAATATTTAAATATTTAAAAATATTTAACACATTAATTTATAAAATTGAAACAGATGGCATGTTTGAACAGGCAGATTCATTAGTCTTACTCTGATCCCACTGAAAACAAATTCCCTACCAATTTCAGCACAAAAAGATCAGAAGTCTTCTTTAAAGCAAGTAAACAAGGCAGATAGTACAGAACTGTTTTTCCTAAACAATAAATGGAAGCCTAGACAATATGCAGATGCAGGCACAGGCCAATTCAAGAAGTGCTTAAGACTATAAGAAAACTGGATTCCAAGCTCAGCTTTAAATATCTTTCAATTCAGTGTCCTCAATACAAATAGAACATGGAACAGCATTAACAGTCATCAGCATTAGCCATTAGAATTCTCAGCCATCTTTAGCTTCTACTATAGCTTAACACTTCCACAGGATTGCTTTTAGGTCTCTTGAGGCAGGTCTCATTTCTCTGAAGTTTTAAAAGCGTACACTTTTTCCTAATTTATTAGTTAACAGGGCTAATTTTGTCCTTAAAAGGGTTTTAACAGCCAGGATTAGATCAATAAATCCTGAGGGACTTCAGCAAGTTCTAGAAATAAAGCTCACCAGGTCCTGGCACAGGGCTTCACAGAACATGGGTCCCAAGTGCCTGAGGTGGCAGCAGGGTTTGTGTCCCTTACTTGATCAAACAGCTTACTAATTAGCCTCAGAACCTAAGAACCTTTTAGCACAGGTAGCAAAATAATCTCTGACTTCCAGAGGAGGTACAGCATTGCAGTGAAAGTTACTCTTCTAGATGTGGACTGAAGACAAAATACTGTTCACATCCTGGAACACATTACTTGTTCAAGCAAGAACACTGCCAACAACAGTTCATCAGCATTTGACAGAAATATAGCACTAGAATTTAAAGATGGGTACTCATGAGTCTTGCTCAGGGCAATTTTCACTATTGCAACAGAAAAGACCCCTCCACCTCCAGTCACAGGGAATTCTCACACAGTGTGCAATAACATGAGGCCTCTAAATTTATTCCAGAAATTAATTCTTGAACACCACCTTCCACTCCCTCCCATCCCCAACTTTATTTACCTCTTTCCACATAATGTTCTGCCACATCCCATTTCTTAGAACTGGAAAGAAAGTTTAAAGTTAGATTAGAATAAATACCCAAGATTTAGACAAATTTCAAAACAACTGTATCAGCAGAAGAGAACATTGACCAGAATGGGAACTAACACACACTTCAGAAAAGTACTTGTCAGAAGCTGGGATTACACTTTTGTTCACAGCTGTAGCCATGTGCATACAAGAAAGAAGAAGAATTTGCCCTTATTTATTTTATTATCACCTGCTAGACAACAGTTGGTGGCCTGATTTCTACTTGGCATCGTTTTATACCAACACACAGATGGGCAGTGTTGTTACTTGTTTGGCAAATAACTTTCCTTAAAACAAAGGGCATTATTGTCTACTGTCAATCAATACCAGGAATCCTCTATACTCTATGTATGATTTCACCACAGAATTTTCACTTCTCACCTTCTTCCTCGGGTTTTATTCATTATGTTTTGACTGACACATTCAACCTCACTACCACACCAATTTACCTTACAGGGCTGAGTTAAGTTGTCAAGCAGGCTCAAAGCCCTGCTGAAAAGCAAAGATCAGCTTTGGCAGGAGAATCTTAAATGCTGAAGCTCATTTTGAAGTAGAAAAGGAAACAATGTGCTGAAACAGGCCTTGTCTTCTGTAGAGCCCAAGTCCTGTAGTGCTGTCTTAACACACTCATTGGTCATCTCCTCTGGAACATGTCTTTCCACCCAAGTAGTTCCTCTAGATATTTCTACACATACTTAATACTACACTAGCCTAAACATTAAGGTCAAAAATTTATGTCAAATCATTCCTGAGTAACCAAATCCAGTGCAAGTCTGTACACATCAAGTATAGCTAAACAAACTCAAACCCTTCACTGAAAGCAGCTGCAGCTAGTTTTCAAAAGATGTTCAGAAAGTGTAATGTGTAATAGATGAAAGTTGAAGAGGCCAGTCCCCAACTTTGAATAGAGACAATCTTCTCCTCAGTGCTACACAGTTCATACACATAGTTCATTTGAAAATCATACCAAATTGCCAGAAGATACAGTTCCACTGAATACAGCCTCAGTCATCCTACTCGGGTTAGGATGCTCCACAAACAAGAATGCAAGATTTCTCAGATCAGATCAAGTACAAGAAAGCCATCTCTTGATTCCTGTCATCAGGCCACACACTTTGAAGCATTGAATCCGGAGATTTAATATTACAGTGAATGGATCACAGTGAAGTAAACTATTTTTTAAAAAAAAGGGTGGGCAGCAACAGAAGCACTGCTAGTGACGCATCCAAACTGCTGAGCTTCCCCCCAAACAAGTATATGCAGCTTAAGGGAAGAATAGTTCTGTTGCATCCTTTCCTTCCATCTTCTAAACTGTGGCAGAATTGAGCTCTGCTTAGTTCAGAACTCAAGAGGAAGCCTGAGCCCAGAATCTCAAGTGAAAAAGCCATGTATCTGCAGCCTTGACTCAAACCCCAAACCCTCAGAAAGGAGTTGCAACAGTTGGCATCTCCTGTGCCTTACTTTACACTGCTCCCTGTTCCACCAGAAAATTCTGGAAATGTTTCAGCAACCAGTTCATACTGTCATATGTTAACATGCAATGAAGATATTTCATAGCTTCAACATGGTCTTGTAGACCATTTACTTGAGAAAACCATTTAGCTTTCATGCTTACTGAAATCAATTTAGCTACTAAAATCAATTAGTCAAGCAAATTACTGAAGTAACTAATCTTGTTTGGTTTTGGGTTTACCCTACAATCTAAAGAAAGCTTCCATTAGACATAAAACAGTTCAGAAATTGAGACTGATTTTTTAACTTCTACTCTACTTAACTCAGGTGATTTTTTTTTTTAAACTCTAAAGGATAGAAAAGACTGCCTTCTCTAGAATATTTATGGGAGGGTAAAATTGATGAATTATTCATCGTCAAAAGATATTTGGTTGAAGTAACAAAGAACAAGTACCTAAAAAGACTGCTCCTACTCAAAACCAGAGTTTCAATATAAACTTTCTCTAAGACTTTAAGACTAAAAACCAGTATATTGATGTTCTAGATTGAGGACTTCATGCTGTGACTCACATCTAGGTGTGTAGGGCCATTTAAAGCGCTGCACCTGAAGGGCAAACATTTCCTATTGGTTTGCAATAGTCTGCTAGCCCTGTGCTTGTCTACTACTCGAGGACATTCCATACAGTATTAAGTGCCAAATTAAAGAATAAGCCATGAGCAATGAGAGGATTAACACATCAGAAGACTTGAATTACTGAGCTCTCTACACCTATGCAATACGCTGCTCAGGGGCTAGGTCCCTAGAGTCAATGTCATCTCCAGATACATCACGTGAAGTCGTCCAAGCCATGAAATACAGGCTCAGAGCCTCACACACTCCAGCTCCTGAAGCAGATGTACAGTGCCCACCTGGAACGGAACTTTTAATTTAGTTTCCTCCAAAGGTAATTTAATTGCTACATACCAAAGTCACTCTGCAAAGCACACCAATCATTTCAATGAGAAATTTAACATGGGAAACGTGCTTTGAAGATACACTACTGCTCAAAAAACTAAACATGAAGATAAATGAATGTTACTGAAGCATGCACCTAGTCATTGCAGTGTAGTTCAGAACATAGCTAAGCAGCCAGCAGATGTCTACTTTTGAGTAAGCTGAACTGCTCTCTGTACTGATTGCATTGACTAGACCTCACTCAGCTATAAGAGGAACCTAAAGGCACATACAGAATCCCAAATTTATTTCATCTTAATCTCACCTTGAACATAAATTAGCTTTTCATTTTCATAATGGAAGTCTCAAGCATGAGCCTCTTTAGCCTTCCTCTGAAGTATGAGTATACAGTTTGAAGTATCATTTTGAAAATTGTATTTAGAGTATTCAAATGTAAAAAATGAAGCTTGAACTAAAACAATTCAAGAGCCAAGTTCCACCTGCTTAGCTCCATAAGAATATCTTGTGTTCTTTCAGGTTGACTCTCCACAATTACTGTGATAAGCTTCCCTTGAAGTATTTGTTAGCAAAGGGTCTCTAACTACAGATCAATTAGAACTGTCCGTGGGACCTCTGGAAGAGCAGACTTTCATATTACCTATAACAAGGCCTGTTGTGCTACAGCCAGTTAATTGCTGATTTCTTGTGACTAATAAATATAGTGCTCTTGCACTTGAAACATCTTCCCCGACTCTTGTAGAGAAATTACCTTGAAGAACTGGTAAAGCAATGCTTTTTGATGTTCATTAATATACAACCTTAATGATCAACCTAATTTCTCAAGCATGAAGGAAAAAACAACTCACTGGAAAAAAAAAACAGTCCTGCAAATATTTTGCCTGTTAACTGAAGCCCAGAGCCAGCAAGTTGTTCAGCTCCCCGTGTTCCTTTACAAGTTTTCCTGGCTTCCTGATACTGAAGCTAAAAGCATTTGGGAGGAAGGGGCTCTACTCAAAGTCCCTGTGTGTTTGCTGTTTCACCTGCATATCTCCACAAAGGAGCCATCCAACACGGGAACACAAAGATCCCGTGACTGCAGCACAGACTGACCATAGGGTAGCCATCAATAAACTCCTTATGTTTTCTGCACAGGCTTTCAGTTGAGCAATGAAGGAAACAAAGATGCTGTCTTCAGTATTCAGTGCCAAGTAGTGTCAATACATTAGGGATACATGTAGGCATTCAGAGCATATCAGTGTTAAATTCTTTCAGTGACACTTCAGGAAAGCAAATCCACAAAATCCCTAGAGCTCTTCCTATGTTTTATGGGCAACGGTACTTACAAAAATGACTTAAAACTCTTTTGACACCAAGTTCCACTGTTTCAAGGGTTTGTTGGGGTTTTTTGGTTGGTTTGGTTTCTCTAGGGGAGGGATGCTTGTTTTATGGGGTTTTTGTTGTGGGTGTTTGGGGTTTTTTTTAAGAATGACAAGGACAGTTTGGCAGGGGAGAAAATAGCTTAGTTTTCTTGGAGGAGCTGAGAACTGTATAACTTTGCACAACCTTGAAATTACATGAACTTTTGAATTCTAATAATCTCTCCCCATGCTTCACTCCCAAGTGTCACACTATCAGCATCAGTCTGAAACATTTGGTAAAGTAAAATCCTAACATCCCAGTAACTATCTAGTCCAAAAAGAACACATTCATCACCATCATGACTATTTAAGCAACAGAATTGTTCAAAAATAAGTGTTCCCGTATTTACTATTTGCACTTAAATATTTAAAGACTGTTTGGTCTTACCTATTGTTTTCTTTTTATTCACTGCACTGTCTGCCTTATGCCTTTTCTGCAAGGAAACAAAACATTTCATTACACCTCATTACACTTCATTATAGATTCTGTTAGAGTTAGAAACATGACAAACTGCAAGATGTTATATCGGGTCCCTTTTGTCTTTTTTTTTTTTTAAGCCACACAGATCATTTAAATCCAAATGATTTGTAACAGAATGTAATTTAACTTTAAAGTGAGAGTTCTCACATAGGAAGCCAGGCTCAAGCCTAGATCAACAGCAAAAAAATCTTAGTCTCCAAAACTGTTCCTCTTGTTTTTCTTTCAAAAACCAATGAAGAACAGTATATTTAGATGACAGCCACATTATACATTCTATGTGCTGTTTGTTTAGACTGATGGCTAAATTACTTTATTCATCAGAACTTTGCAAAGCAGAAGGATCACATTATTATAAACAGTATCCAAGTAAGTTATAGTGCAGATTTTGCCAAGAACAGTTTGCTCTACACTAAAGTTGCCTTTCCCCTGCTCATTTTCAAGACCAACTAAAAAAGTCACGTATATCTGTCAGCACTCTACAGTGCCTTTCTAGCCAAGCCTTTCTAATGAAAGCCCAAATAAATAAGTCTGAAGAGGTAAAAACAAGTGTCCTGACTTCTACTGTTTCCTTGTTCACCACCTATAATGAAAATGCTTAATTTATCTCAGTGTGCTACAGAAATTCCAGTCAAGTTCAGAGCTTTGAAAGTTAAAAGGATATTTTGCTGCTGTTCAGAAACTACTCAGGCTTCAGAGATGCAGAGCTTTGTTGCTTTTTTGAAACACTCTTTAGCACAGCCTTCCCCATAATCATACTCACATAGTCTTCTATGATTTCTTTGATGCCAGCAACTGTTAAAATAAATAGCAATGGCACCAAGGTGGTATATCTTCCTGTTGGAGAGACATCTGGAATTTGCTGTGAAAAGAGGGAGAAGAGATACTAATTTTATATTTGTATTTAAAACTAGTTTCTAGCAAGTTTAGAACTTTAATCTAAGTCCTCAGAAGAGAGAACACAGTTTTCTGATTTGTGACTGATTCACATGCAATTTCAGTGGGTAAACTAGCCCAAGCTCCCAGAAGATTTGAAGAAACCACTAGTACAAAGTTAGAAGATGAAGTTGTTGTGAAGAGAGGAGGAATAGAATAACAGGCATGTACAAGAAAACCATCCAACTTACACAACTGAACTGGAAGCAGTGATTAGAATCTAGACTATCTAAACAGACAGCAGTTCCACAAGAATCCACAAATGCTTTTCTCAGTATGGTAAATAGCTCCATGTTTTACAATACTATACCTTGTTTTCATTTATCAAAAATAAAAGTAGCTTGATTTTACAAACTACATTGGAAAACATCTAAGTTGTCTTCTAATAATCATAAAGTACATACCTTATTAATATTACTTTTAAAATACGTCTAAGAATTTCTTTGCAGTTAAGCATAACAACTGAGACAACTTCTACTGCATCACAGTTTCATTTTATAATCAAGGCAAACCAATGAAACAATACCTGCAGTAAGGCAATGAAGAGGAAGAATGCATTTGCAGCTTTTCTTATCTGCTCATACAGGAATCGAGGTAGAAATGTCACCACGCTGTACTTGGCCGTGCTGCAGGTTAGAAGATTTTTATTGGAGTACTTCATTGGAAAGTCATATAGGGATTACAATCAAAAAGTTTCAAGTAGGCTTCTGAAAAGTCAGTTTTAGAAAGATCACACAGTAAAAACAAATACAGAACATGGAGGAAGTTGCCTGTGTTATGAGGAAGAGCTGCACAGAATAAAAGTAGTATCTCACAGACCTAGAAGGCTGAAGGTCCCACTGGTACCTTTATTATTGTATAAACCACCAGATAATTTACTATCCATCCAAACTTCAGCACCATGAACAGGCAATCTTTTACCTCAGTTCCAAGTACTTGATCAAGTGCTTACTCCTTATCAAAACATGGATTTAAGTGCTGGAGGGAGGCAGAGTAGAACACAAGAGAAGTTAGAAATTCTGTGCTGCTATCTTTAAAATGCCTCATTTCCCAGTTCACTACCACTCAATACTCAGTTTCTAATAATCCCTCAGAACACTTTTTCACATTAATCTTTCCTGGCTATTCTCTCCAGTAGTTGTATTACTATTTCCTCTATCTTAAAACAAAAATATATTGCACTAACTAGACTCAACAATCCATGTAATTTTTTTGTTTTCCTCATATCAAACCCATGACAGGCATGAGCACAACTTCAGGAAAAAAGCGTCCAAAATGACAAGAAGATTTAATCATTCAATTTTTAAGTAAGTTTTAAAAGCCACCCTCATGTTGTCGAGCTATCAAAAACACCTAAAAGAGATTAAGTCTCTTATGTGCAAGTCCTTGATCTCTGAACATGTTAGTTACAACTCAGTCATCTAGGTGCCTTCTTAAGGTAGGTTCATGCAGCATGAGTTTCCTTCCACTGCCTGAGCTATACGGGAGACTGAGTTTATCTAGTAGCATGTTGTGTTCCATTATACAGGGGGGAAAAAAAAAAATAGAGTAAGAGGAGTAATTGTGCCTTACTTTCCCTCATTGAAATAGCACAGCATCTTCCCACACTTAACTCCTGGGCATCAGCATGAGTTGGAGCTTTAAGAGGCAACTCCTTGTAGCTGTAGTTCAGGTGTCTTCCAAGGGCACTGAATGCAAGCTCTGCAAGAGCCAGACAATCCGTGACAGGAGTTTTGGTTTGGGTTTTGAGGTATCATTTTGTTTGATAGGTTTTTTATTTTGTGGATTTGTTTTTTTTTGTTTGGGGTTTTTTGTTTGGTTTTGTTTATTTGTTTTTAAGAAGGCTTATATTTCCAAGCAACTGAGATCCCTAAGACACTCCTTTCAAGAAAGAACAAAAATTGCTTCCTGAAGCACTAACAACACAACTCCTCAAACACAGGCAAGATGCTGTTGTATTGAAGTTTCCTAGAAACGTCAAGAGCACCTTTCCATTAAAGCTGGTCCTCTACATGAAGTGTTTTTCTTGTTCTCTTCCACTAGTAAGCCTTCCAGATCAACTGAAATCCATGGCATTACTATTCACAAATCATGAAGGACTAGTAAAATCAAGTGCTTTATCTACATGATCTGTCTTTCACAACCAACTGCTACAGATAAAACTCTTACTACAATCTTGACCCATGGGCAATTAAGATCAGTGGGGTTCTATCGTACTTAACTTTTTATGCACAAGGTTAGAGAACTGCATTGTCTTTATTCAAGATCATTTACTTGTTTTAACTATTTTTTTTCTCTCTCTTTTCTTCCCCATCCCTATTTAAGGATACACTGTTGCAGGTTCCAGAATCAAACAGTAACAAGGGACATGGCACAATTTATTCCACAAAGCTTTATTTCGGACACTGGAGTAGAATCAGGGGGGCAAGTTAAATAAAGTGATCAAACAACAATTAAGATCTCATTTTATTAGACTATGGTACTTATATTTCAATTTCATCTAGTTTCCTATTCAAGCAATTACAGACCCCTACTAGGTTTGATGCAAATCAGTTATTATTTTAACTGGACCTCTAAAAAAGGTAACATGACAGCATTTCTAGAGCTACAGCCTAGAGACTTCCTATTGCTACTACTGCTCAGCAGAACCATGTATTAAAACACTCCGTGTGGTATTTTACAGAAGTTGCAGGTGGTCATACTTCAACATAAACTACACCAGCTAAGCCGACTGAGTGAAAACATGCATCTGGGTTTACAGCACGTGATGTAGCACGCTTAGTGTATAAGTGAAGAAAAATTATTTCCTTGAACTGCTATTAGTTTTTTCCAACTGTAAGTATTTTTTCTAAGCCACATTTGCTTGGTCCCACATGTAATAACCTGCCTATAATAAAGAATATAATTAAACATACATGCCTCAGAAGTACTTTGTGACCTGAAAAATATGGGTTAATCAAGTAAGAGTTCAGACCTAACCTACAAGTGAATTCCCCAAGCAACACTAATTAGAAATCAAGAATTAGCAGATTTTTATATCTAAATAGTATTCCCCTGGATATCACATTTATAAGACTATATTAGAGCAAGAATTTGTCTAATGACACGTTAAGCTGAAACACCTATTAACATTCTATCATTTACTGACTTTACAGCTAACTGGTGCAAACATTATTCTTACTCTAATGATTATGTTAAAGCCAACGCAATAAGGCTTTTCTGAATGAGCTTTATACATATTAAATCACTCCATCCATAGCTTAAGTAACATGACAGATGTCTACAGAAAATAGGTAGAGTTCTAATTAGAAAGCAGCACATTCAGCTGTTACCATGCAGTCCCAGAACAGTAATTACGTGTATGTATAAAAAGGTGTATGTTATTAAAAAGAAAGCTTCTTATTAAAAGCAAACTAATGCTCTAAGCTAGACAGGAGTATTTGATAAATTTGGCTCTGAAGAACAGCTCTTTAAAGGACAAATAACAATTACTTACAAATAAAACAAAAGCTTTGTGCTCCCTCTCAACAGATAGATGCATTGTGATGACTTAAGGACAATCAAGGCCCAGAAAAAAGATAAAAATATACAGGTCAATAGGGAGAAACTTCAGGCAGCTCATTCTCATTTATAGCACAATTTTGGTCACTAAAGATAAATATCTGTGAAGGTTAGCCGTCTGACCAGCCCAAATCAGAGCAATCCTATCTTCAGAGAAGTACCTGGTACCTGACTCCAAGAACAGCAGGTCTGCAGCTCACAGAACAGGTTGTGACAGGGGGAAAAGGGGAGCACATGCAGGAAACCAAACAACAAACTGGTATTTCCTAAAGCAACAGCCATTAGCTATGCAAACCTTGCTTAAATACACAAGTTTGATGTTTAAACAGGTGTGCAAACATTAGAAGAGATCTGTCTTTTCTATATCTGCAACTTAATTCAGGTAAGTCATGTTTCAAGTTACACCACTGTGTAAGTCAAGAGGAACACTACCAAACTCCGTGAAATAAATGAGTCTGGATACCCATCGGTATAGCTGCTGAAAGAGTCTGGCCCCACTGTTTCTCGAGCAGTGCAGAGATTTATCTGTACACAACCACCATATAATTCAAAAAAGGTTAGTGGCATTTACATACCTTAACTCATGACCATGCTACTAAAGAGTACCAAGGATTAGTTATTTTGATAATACTCACAAGAAAAGTAGCAAACAGTAAGCTAAGAAACTCAACAGTAGTTTTCTAGTGTAGTTGCCTCATTTGCTAACATGGAATTTTTGCATGGCAACTCTTAGTTGTCATTTTCCCCTGTTTCTCCAAAATTTTTCAAAAAGCCAAGTCTTACTCTATTGAATCACCCGTGAAGAGGCAAAGGCTACCAGTTACAGAGGCAGAGAGGTTACTTCCTAAAGAAGTGTATGTGTGCTAGCAGTGTTCCACTCAATACAGCTCTACATCTTCCCCAGTCAGCTATTTAAGCACTTCCACATCTTCCTTGACAATTGAGATGAACAACTCAGAGGAACTTCACCTCCAGACTAATAATGGTAAAGAAAACAGGACCTCCTTGAGATACATGTGGTCTCATTTCCAGGGTGGTAAGTACAACAAACCGCCCGTCCCTAGGCAGCTATCCCACAGCTATCCATTCCTCAGTTCACATACTTTAAGTAATCTCAAATGTGAGCGCTGAAGAATGAAAGTTGCTTGAGGTTAGTGCTTTTAAACAGACACCAATTCACAGGAACAATTACTAAGAAAGCCAAGCACAGACACCTGAACCACAGCAGAGGGGCTGTGTAACAAAAGTGCATGTTAAGGACCTGAACTCTTCTCTCACCAAGCAGGCTTTGTTTCCATTAACATGTACAAAAGGTCAGATGCCCTGTAACAGTGAAGGAAGAAAAAAAAAAACAACCCAAGATGATCTGGTTGAATTAAGGACTCAAATACCGTCTTCAGTGGAACTGTGTGTGCATGCTAAGCTCTTGCAGGCACGTGACACTTCTTTTAATATACATACTTCTGCCTAGCCACTGAAAAAATCAAACCCTGAAAGATTTCTCCAAGAAAAATGCAGCACAGGCTGAGATCTACCCAGCTGGGGAGCAGCTCTGTCGAAAGGGACCTGGGGGTCCTGGTGGACAAAAAGCTCAGTATGAGTGAACAGTGTGCTGCTGTGGCAAAGAAATTCAACAGGATGCTGGGTTGCATCAACAAGGGCATCACCAGCAGAGACAAAGAAGTCACTACCCCACTTTACTCAGTGCTTATCAGGCAACACCTGGAATACTACGTTCAGTTTTGGTCTACTGCTATGTAAAAGAGATGTGGACAGGCTGGAGAGAATCTCGAGAAAGGTCATAAAGATGATCAAAGGACTGGGAAGCCTGACATACGAGACAAGGCTGAGAGAACTGGATTTCTTCAGCCTTGAAAAAAGAAGGCTTAGGAGAGACCTTATCACCATGTTCCAGTATTTAAAGGGTGGCTACAGAGAAGATGGGAACTCCCTTTTTACAAGGGGTCACACGGAAAAAGACAAGGGGTAATGGTTTGAAGCTGTTCCTGAGGAGATTTCAATTGCACACAAGAAGAAAATTTTTCCAAGAAAGCAATCAGC